AGACGAGCCAAGCTGACGAGGGGTGACTCAAAGTTCAGAAAAGAAGGCCGTGGTCAAGCCTGGGAGAAGAGTTATGACAATCTAGTCTCCCCCGCTGGTGTCACCTGCCACTGGAAACACAAAAGAAGGTGCCCACTGGGAACATGTGGTCTGCATAAACACTGCCATTTATTTAAAACCCCCGAGAAGCCTGAAAAACAGCACAGAGATCAAAGCTGACGGTAGCCGTTCGGCCCTCCTGCTGCATGTACAGTAGACAGCAGACTCCATACAAGAGCAGATCCTGCAGGAAACTTGGAATAAACTTCAAAACTCTTGAACCTCAAGCCCTTCACCACACTTCTCTGAGCTCCTTCTGAAGTCTGAAGAACAGAGATGACTGTCCACTTCAAAACAGCACAGCACCTGGGTCTGACTCATTTTATCCTAGATCTGTTTCATGTCAGTCGCAATCAGTATTGTTTCTTGTTTGGGTTAGTACTGAACAAACTCATTCTATCTTAGAAACAGTGCAGCACCCTGTCAGCTGGGCTGACACTTCCTCCTCACTGGACTTCTGAATGTGCTGACAAGGGCTTTTTCTGGCTCGAGACTATCAGTGACAAACCTGTCTCCTCATCCAGGTTGCCTAAGCCTTGGCTTTGTTTGGGTTGAGCACAACCTATTCCTTGAAGGATTAAGTTGAGAGAGCACTCCCCCCTGTACTGTCTTATGAGTAATACAGACATTGTTTCAAGAGCTGCAATCAAGTGATTCTCTGCAGGCAACACACCAGTAGACGACCCTGTTCTACTCCAGTGAGCTGGCCTCAGAGAGTGAGCACAGCTGATCACGCAGATCAGAAGTGAGGATACATCTCTAAACACCAAAGTAGCCATGTTTTAGTTATTTTTCACATTTTTGAATAAAATCACAGTGGCACAAGATATACACATATGCCCAGAAAAAGGAATGCACTTCATGTATTTCCATTGTGCAGCCTTTGGATCTTCAAAAGTGTTTCTGGGGCTCCTCTGCCAGGTCCAGAGTGCCTGAGAGCCTCTGAGTTTATACCCACAGTCCTCTGCACTCCTTCGGATTACACTTGTTGGTGCCGCCGTGCTGGGGATTATAAACAGGAGATCATCTTTGTTAAGAGCTCTAACTCATCACGGTCATGGCCCCTTCGCTCTGGAATTGATCACATTAATCCGCATAATTGCCACTGCCAGTTATCAGGAGGATTAGCCCCCAAAAAGACAGACGTGACGTCAGAAATGCCGGGCGGCAGCAGGACACTTACAATGGGAAATGCACTCCGCACTGATTTATTTAGTCTAAGATTTAGAAGCCTCCGTCTTTGATGCTTCTACATTTTATTTTGGAATAATCGTAACTTGCAATTTCCAGCACATACACGAAGTTAAAATAAATGACAAAACCAATTATTTCTGCTGACAGCTATGGAGTTGCCAAAATCCCTAGTCCCTCCCTTTGTATGTTAAGATGGTGAATGCACTAGAAGTATTAATGACCACTTACAGGGATGAATGCATCCTTAATAAACATAAAAAATGGAGTATCATGATCTCATTTGTATAGCTAAACTGAACACTATATTACCAAACAATCAATTAATGGCTAACTGTTGGAGATGGAGATACTGTATGTTTGTGACTGTTTATAATAGGTAGATATTTCTGTAGAAACAGGCACGTTACTTGCACATGTAGACAGAGAGGGAGAGAATACTC